CTAACTCGCCTAATTAAATTGAATTTAATTTTTCAAACAGTGGTAACCCTTCTGCGCCTAACTTATAAATATGTGTGAAAAAAAAAAAACGAAAGAGAAATTTCAATGTAATCGTTCCAATCGTTAATTTCAAAAAACTGTAATCTGTAGTCAGAGGTAATTTAAACAACTGTAAGCTTGCATAAAAACTGCAATTTACAGTTAAAACTATGAATCTAGCAACGTTAGAGAGAATGGGAAAGCCAGCTCTGCTTCGATGGAAGACGAGGAAACATCCGAATACATTCTTCGCGACTGCTCTGCCTTTGCCTAAGCAAATGTTAGCTTACTTTAAAGCTACATTTATCAATCCTTAGAAATAAGTAATTCCACTGTCAAGGCCCATCTAAGATTCATTAGGGAATCCGAAGGTGTCCTGGGCATAGAGATCCAAAGACCTTTCCAGTCGCAATATCTCTTGTTCTGATATACCCGAGCATTTATCTATCTATCTACCGAACAAGTCTAAATTAAATTATTTTCGCTTAGGAGAAATTTGATTATGCTTTTATGGAAATTAAAACGGGGAAATATAAATACATACAATTGACTTCCCATTTTATTGTTCAAACTCAATACTCGTACATACTTAATAATAATACAAACTCTCCTCATACAGAAGCATGAAAGCTATTTGAGCTAGCGATAATGCCCACTTATCTATATAGGAGCCCTCCTATCCATTTCAAGCACCACCTACAACACTTATTCATACTTCAAATTTCACATAACACTAGGTATCCCAATGAACCAAATGTATTGAAAATAATATTTTATTGAGGTAGTCAATTTCAGCGTTTAAATAGCCAATTTAGTTTATACCAATCAACTGACCGATGCTGTAAATTAATTTTATATAAAGGATGAAATACTGAAATAAATTGCATTAAAATGTTTTGGTTTCAATTATCTGCCAAATTCCCAAATTCCCAAAGTTTTTTCTGAGTCAGATACAATACTAAAGCATACTACACTATTAAAATTTAAGAAAAGTTTAAAAAATCAACAAGTAATAAAAAACTTTTTTTTTGTGTACTTTTACAATTTACTTGCCAACTGGTCTATTGGGTTATTTATATACGTATTTACATATATATATATGTAAGTGTGCCAGACAAAGTAACCACACTCATTGTCTTTTCACGCGCGTAATAAAAATCGATAAAAGTCACTTTTTGTAAATCGATTTTATATGTTTATTCCTTCGTTTTACTAAACAAAAAGGCTATTCGCCGATGAAAAGACAGGCGACAGGGCTTGTTAAAGTTATAAAAGTAATTCCAGCAATTCCTTCAGCTACTTGAAGGGGAAACAACCAACTTTGATGCGAATGTGAAGGAAAAAGTTAAAAAGGCAACAGCAATAAAATATGTAGCACCAATACTAGTGATGGCGATGGCATAAATAAGCGATTGGATAAGTAAAAAAAAGTCGTCGTTGAGTTTAAGAGCAAATACGGTGCGGTTGCGAGGGAGTCGCGCATTTAAGGCGTGACGAAATGTTGACTTGGTACGCAAACGAGTAAAAAAATAGACAGTTTTTTACTGTTAAGGCATGAGGATTTAGAAAGGACGTAAATACATACCAGTGTTGCCACATCAAACATATTTTTTTCTACCAAAATGCGCACAAAAAGTCGAACACAATTTCAACAAAAAGCTCAAGACCACTCCAAAGGTTTTTAACTACTTCGATTTTCAAAGAAAAATCACCACATTTTGAAATTATACTTCAAGAAAGGCAAAGTCAAAAAACAAAATATTTGTTTTTTTTTTGTGTCAGAAAGAACAGTGCATGAAGAGTTGAATCAATCTCGATGAAACTGACATCACATTCGCCTGAAAAATGCTGGTCCAAGAAAGAGAAAGCTTCATAAACGGTGGAGAGTTCAGGATTGGTCATCAGCCCAATTCTGCGTCATCCCGTACTTGGATTCTGCCGAGCGTAAATCCTTTAAATATAAGCACCTCGGAAAAACATTTCTGCCTGAAAATAAGAGAAATGAGATTTTGAACTTAGAAACAGATTTTTCCGATACACATACGCATATATGCATTCAGCTATAATGCGCCCGGTGAGACTAGAAGGAAATTTTTTTAATGACGCACTACCCTGGCCAAAATTGTTTCCACCCTCTGCTGTGAAAAATTATTTAAATTAATTGAAAAACCGACTAGAATTTAATTTACCAGAAAAAAAAGAGTATTGTGCTCCATAACTTATAACAAAGCCGAACCAACGCCGCAGCAATTAAGAGCGCTTGGTGGGGAATTCTTGATGCGTCTATAATATAACTTTGACCTTGTACCATTTGTTTCATATGTGTTCCGTTCACTATAGAACCTGATTTGATGGTGGTGAATCGAATTCATAAAAAGCCTATAGAAAACATTTAAAATAGTTATCACTGCAGAAGTCAATGAAGATTTACGTTTAAAAATACCCCAGTTTTTTCCTCTATAAAAAGTCCCAATAGTTCAAATGAGCTTTCATATATAAGCTATTTGTTTGACAAGTTAAATATTTTTACCTTTTTTGACATATACTTGTCGTTTGTTTATTTGAAATAAATGAATTCAAATATCTTCTGAGAAAATCTACCAAAATTGATTTTTAGAAAAATATGCTACCAAATTTGGTAGAACTCTAGCAAAACGGCAACACTGATAAATATGTAAATGTACTCCCAGCGACGCTGATGAATGACTGCTTATCGTCACGAAGCCTAATACGTGTAGTGGATATAACTTTGTCTTTTAATCGAAAATGTGGTTTTATGAATGAAAGAGGAAGGGAGTGGAAAACCCAATATCTACATATATATACATATATATATAGAACAACATTATATTGCTTGAAATAATGGAAAATATGATGAATAGAAGAAGAGAAAGTAGGAAAAATTGCGACGGGAAATTATGCAAATTTTGGAAATACGACACAAACACAGTTGCAAGAAAATTACTCGCAGCGAAGTTTAGCAATTAAAGTTACAAAGTATAGCGAGTTAGAAGTGACGAGTTTCAGGGATACGACTCTCATAGCCACACCGTGTCGACGATTGGAACGGTCGAGTTTCCAATCCGCTGCTAATCTCGCGTGTCCGAAGCTTTGATAGACGTTTCAGCCGAGATCATTAGATCTAAACATACACTGGCGCACAGGTAAAAAAAAAGAAAAAAAATCAAAGATTTTACTTAGAAAGTCATTTTAAAGGTCTGGTTGAATGAAAAACTACTTTGACCTGAGATCCGACCTTTAAAATTAAAATTTATTTTGTCGTTTTTTTACCTAAAACCATTATGCCGAAAACTTTGAGAAAAAATTCGTAAGCGCCGTTTTTCGGTTCCTTGCTGCAAGAACAGCAAACAGGGCAGTTATTTTACTTAATATCACCATTCTTTTTCTGAATTCTGAATCTGAAAACTTTTAAAATACCCTTACATCTATTTCGCTATCTCGTCTCGTTCTGTGCTTTTTTCCAAAAAGAACACTTTGCGGCATAGACAGCAAGAGGAGTACATACTGATGAAGTTTGAGATAAGGTATAAGTCTTATTAGCATATCACATAAGGTCATAACTATCAACGATGTTGTGTGAAAAGCTAAAGCCCTACATTGTACCAAAATTTCACAATTCGCCTGGAAAAGTAACTGGATAAGCAAACCGACACACACCATCTATTCCCCGACTATATAATCACTTCGATAGCATGAAGGGAAGCTGCGATGCCATATCTAAATACCCCATCCGAATTTTAGAACCCCGCAAAACTGGAGTGACATTGACCGCAACTTTCACCCGTGTCCTCCGGGTGGGGTGGGTTTTTGAGTACAATCTGTAGCTTAAAGCTTAGAAATATTTTTTAGCATTTCTGTTGTTTGAAAAAGTTCTCGGCATTTGCTCTAAATTTTCTTGAAGAAATACAAAAATATACGAGCATTTTTTTCTTGGGAGCTGCAAACTGTTTTAAGAAATTTTGATAGAATAAAATTTCTTTTCCATTTCTTGTGCGTCATTTTATATGAATTTTTCGTTTTCCTTGAGAGCTCTTAAAAGTTTAACTGCGAGTGAAAGCATTGTTCTAAACATATGCAATGCATACTCAATTACTGTTGTTTTTTCGCACCTGCTGCAATTTTGCAGTAGCTTAAAACTTGCACTTTATTTTCATAAAATTTAATCAGCTACAAAACTAAAAACTCGAAAAAATTCTAAAAAAAAATTTTAAAAATTTTGTAAATTTGTAATGCACTCATTTTATTAAACTTCGATGTAAAAAAAAAATCATATCCCAAATTATTGTAGAGTGCAGCCCGTAATACTATACTTAAATATTGCGCAATACTCAGAGCAACCATCGTGATTTTTTTAATATTTTTTTTTTGAGATGGCATATTTTCAAAAGCTAATTTTTTTATCAAAAAATTTGTATGTGAAAAATTTTTCAAGAAAGAATTTTTAATGTAGAGAATTTTGTGTGATTTTTTTTAATTTTTTCCTCGCCCCGTTCTCGAAATATTCGGAAAACTACTAAACCGATTTGTTTTTGTTTTTGTGCTGCCAAATTTTTAAAAATGTATTAATCATGCTCAAATTTCATATTTATTTATTGTTTATGTTTATCCATCAACCCAAAAAATTTCAAACAAACCAAACACATGAAATGTGAACCCCGTCCATTTTGGTATGGAACGCCCCACATACATACCTATATCGTATACACATAGTATGTAATAAGAATTAAGTATTTGTGCGTGTTATGCCGGACTTAAAATGTCTACATTTCTCACTGGCCACTCATTTTATTAAGTTGATAAATCATACGATCCGAACATATATTTTTGTTTATTGTTTAATTTTTATATTTCTAATAAGAATTGAGTTATGTGGAAATTGTAAACAAAATGTAGTAGATTTTAAGCCTTGTGTGGTAGATGTGGTAGTAACCTTTAACTTTAATAAATATGTTCTAATCCTTCCAGTCTTCGCGTATAAAATCGGCCGCCTTTTCACCAATCATAACTGCAGCCGCATTTGTATTGGCACTGGGTACCGTTGGCATAATACTAGCATCAGCCACACGCACGTTGTCAACACCACGAAGTTGCAAACGTGGATTCACACAGCTCGTTTCGTCGGTCTCAGGGCCCATTTTAACCGAACCCGTCTGGTGATAGGTGGTGGAAGAAAAGTACTTAAGGTAGCAACGCCAATAATCATCACTTCTCAGTTCATAGGCATCGCATTCGTCAATACTGGGTAGTAGTATTGTGGCGTTCGCTGCCTTATAGGCAGTCGTGTTCACTAGCTGCTCGTGGAAGCGCATTGCCCGCACTAGAGTGTCCACATCTTCGGATTCGCTAAAGTAATTATGTACCAACTTAGGATCGGCTTTGTAATTGGCGCTCTGCAGGCGCACATAGCCTTTAGACTTGGGATTCAAAAGAAAATTAAACATAACTAAAATATCAGCTGTTTCGAGCGCCTTGGATATTTGATTGACAATTTTATTATTCAAGTTGACTCCACTAGCGAATTGTTTCAAAGTAGCTTGATTATTACGTCGAATTTTTAGATGAAGAACCCCGACATCCGGGTATGAATCGTTCTTAAGGGTATTAATGAAGCCGGCAATTGAAGATGTCCTGTCCAATGTTCCATTCTGATGAATTAAATATTTGTAAACGATATCAAGACTGTCGACCATCTTGTGATTCGGTGCGACATTCTCCCTTAATTTGAGGAAAGTCCAAACATTTACATGATCATACAAGTTGTCGCCTACTGGCAAGTCCTGCACAACGGGAATATTCAATTGCCCCAAATGTTCCGCTGGACCCACACCAGACAACATTAACAGCTTCGGCGAATCTATTGCGCCTGCGGATACTACCAACTCTTTGCCAACGCTCACATTCAGCTCATATTTGTCCTGAAGTATAAAGCTCACCGAGTTAACTTTTTTTCCGCTATCATCGAAATTCAACTTGGTTACATGCGCTCCTTTTATCACATGCAGATTAGACCGTGGCGAAACTCTCGACAGATAGCCCTTTCCGGTACTCGTGCGACGTCCATTTTCTATTGTGCGAGGCAATTTGAAATATCCCAGTTCGCTAACATCATTAAATTCCCATTTCTGCGGTATGCCCAACTCCTCGGTTCCCTGTGTGATCATTCCCGCTAAATCCGTGTCAGTGTCCGGTAATTCACTGACTGTGAGATATCCTACTGGATTCGTTTCATTACCCACAGGACGAATTGAACGTTCGAAATATGGTACGACGTCATCCCAACCCCATCCAGTGTTGCCAGCCTCTGCCCAACCATCGTAATCTTTGCGATTGCCCCAAATATAAAACATGGCATTAGCTCCACCAGAGCCGCCTAACATTTTTCCCCTCGGAAAATAGCAACGGCCATCGTTGAGGCCCAAACAGGCTTTGTCGCTTGGCTCCGTAAAGTAGTTAAATGTTGCGTTTGTGTGTTCCATAGAGAATAATAAAGCAGGTACCTGAGTAAATGTGTGTAAAGAAACATTTTATAAGTTGTCGAATCCGCACTCATTTCTACATACTTCACTTTCTTGTGGTGGATCACCACCTGCTTCCAGAACTAGCACTTTCCAATTTGGATTTTCGCTTAAACGGCTGGCTACTACCGAACCGGCAGATCCAGCGCCCACCACCACAAAATCGTAGGTGTCCAAGCCATTTCTCAGCGCTTGATCCGCGTAGTCTGATGGCCACAGCTCCGGTGCGGAGATGGCGCATTGTGCGGCAAGCAGTGCCTGGAGAAGTGTGGTCACCAACGTGTTGACAGTACCAACACTTTGGGCGGCACATTGGAGGTCTATCTGTGGAGACGACATTGTCCAGGAAGTTGAAGCTGAAAAAACCAATTTCTTATTTATTACTCACTGACTTGTCCCAAAATAGCAAGATTTATTTTAAACCTACCAAAGTTTATTTAAAAAAAATATGTCCCGGTTTACTACAAAAGGAAGGCTCCTGCAAAAATAAATTTTTCCCCTATTGTAGAATAAAAACATTGCAAAATTAGCAAAAGAAATTAAATCTTGCCTCTTACCGTTGATGTGCGAAAACTAGTGCAAATGAGAGAACACAATCCACTTGGAATTCTGCAGCAAGTATGTCTTTTCTCCCCTAAAAAAGCATCTTTTATACCTACCCACTAGTGGTGCGGCGATAGTTCTTCAGAAACCATCGATAACTATCGATAGTTTTTTAAACTTACAATTTGGCTTTATATTGCGCTTGGCTTATTTCTTACAAAATCAGTAAATCGCTTGCTTAGAGTGAAAAGTTGCTAAGACCATTTCTAGAAATTTTACAGGTGAGGAAGAAACTTCTCGCAGCCTTTTTTTCAAGAATTTTGCGAAACTTTTAATAAAACATATTACGTGTTTAAAGCAAAGCAAAGCTTCATACGAATTAGAAATATGCGTTGCTAATTAAAACAATTTGAATTTTTTTAGAACTATTTAAGTATTTTATTTAATATCAGATATTATCCTTATTTAGTTCTTTTTACGAATCTATCCTCTTTTTCACTTATCAAAGCAAATGCTGGTAAATTTACGCTGCCGAACTATCTTTTATTAAAAGATGCGGCCAGGTTGTCTCAAATGCAAGTTGACAATAAGCTTTAAAACAATAATACAAGAAAAATAAAAACTATCGATGGTGGTACGATAGTCAAAAACCATCGATAGTATCGTTAGTGCCATCGATAGTTTCAGAACACAACTACCCACACACCAGCATTTGGAAGATTAATAAAAATCACCTCGATCACCTTTGATGATTAAAAATTGATTAATCGCTTAGGCGATAAAAAAAACACTCGAAAATGACTCGCCCTTACGCTTGAAAAGTGATTTATTGGAAAAACGAAAACAAACAGGATCGTTGCAAGTACACATGACGAAGAACCCGCACAATTCGTAAAATGGATTTCTTAATTTTAACAGTTTTAATTTTCATACACATACGTACAAAAGTATTGGCACAAAGAACATTTCAGAATGCGAAAATGCCAAAAATCAACGCGATTTTTTAGCAACTTGGAACTGTTATTGCACTAAAATTTAATGGGCTACAAAACTGCATACACAAATTCTTTCTAGAAAATCTACTTAAAAAGTTGCAAATTCATTGAATTTTTCTAAGTTCTGCATAAAATTTAGACATTTTATTTTTTTTGTTTTTTTTTTTGTAATATGAGCTATGTTTTTTATAAAAAATTAGTGAAAAGAAATTGGAACTAAAGCTTTGCATACATTGTGAAAAGTTCTCTGTGTAAATTACTTTTATACGGGAGGGAAATTTTGGAATATTTTCAAACCGGTTGAAAAATGCATGCTCTGGACTATTTCGAACAGTAAATTCCAGGTTTGGACCACTGTGCAGCGGCGGTTTACCCTGGCAGTTCTGATCAGTGGTACGCAGGGACCGTAACAGTTACAACTTTACGATTAAAAAAATCACTCTTTAACAATTATTTTTGACTTATATTTAATTACTCATTATTTCTGACTTTTATTTTATAAATCCAGACTAACAATAAAATTTGATTTTTATCCAAATAATCTGCAAATAACAGTTATTTTTGATTTTTAAATTATATGTCTTAGCTAACAGTTATCGAAGACTTTTATTTATAAAAGTCATAAATAAAAATCACTCACTGACCTTTATTTTCTTAAATCATACTTATAAGATGTAAAAGTCGTAAATAGTAAACTTTTGTTTCTTAACACCTTCTTAACTGCGAAAAATTTTAATGACTTTACGGATGATTTAAATTGATTACTTTTAAAAGTAAAAGCCACTGACTGATTTTTATTGATGACTTCTATAAATAAAAGTCTTCAATAACTGTTATCTAAAACATATAATATAGAAATTAAATTTAATTATTATTATTTTTAATTTATTATTTTTTAATTTATTTTTGTAATTTTTTTAATTTTTCATAAAAATTCCAAATAAAAATTTATTTTCAAACTTGATTCTCGATGAACGTGCGAACTCAAACTATTTCACAAAAGTCATGTATTTAACCCTTCGCTCCCCGAACTTTTTGACCTAGGAAAAAATATTTTGAATTTTAGTTAAAATATTCTTAAAAGTTTATAGTTTTAAGGCCTTTTTATGTTTCGAATATCAAATAAATATACTACATATATTTCTAATAAATATTCATTTTTACCCACACCTGCTACTGACTAGCCCGCAGTCCCGAATTAGGAAAATAAAGATTAGTATCCATATGGCCACCATCGGCAGGAAAGGGTAAAATAGTGTGGCCTCATTTTTTCACATATAACACATACAAGTATACACTTAAGTTCACTTCCTCAAGCACATTTATATGAACACACAATTAGTTCCACCCACAGCCTCCACATAATCCATGTAATTTAAATTTGAAATTGTAACTTACTTTTCGCACTCAACTGCCAACAGTTCACAAATTACGCGCCGCACTGCCTCACTTCACAGAGTCCACCACATACATATGTACATACATATTCTCCCTAAGTGAACCGTTGTTACAGCAACTAATCGGAGCAACTAGCCTGCAGCGACTCGCAACACTTACGGCCTGACACTCGTGTAATCCTGCAGGCCCACTTTTAGGCCGCCGATAACAGCAATCGCAATTGTGGTGGGTGTGTTAAAACCAAGGCAGCCGAAGGCAAGCGTAGTAATACGTGCGCATACATGTACATACATGTAAATGTGCGACGACAGTCCAATACTAGCATTAAATATGTATGCCAAACAGGTGCAGTAGTTCCGACTGTCAAATTGTTTGACAATTACTGCTACTCGTCGTAGTACATACTCGTTTGTTTGTATTTAGGTATATACATACACATATAGATCGACAGTCGGACGACGCTTATCGCCCTTTCAAATGTCACACACTGCCACGATTGGTTTTTTTTTTTTTGTTTTTTTGTTTCTCCGTTGACTCGCAGACACTTTGACACTCTGACGCTTGAAATGGGCACACTGCTGCAGTACTAATGTTTATTTCAGTTACAATTTGGCTTTTGGCTCCCAAATGTAGGCTATTTAAGCGAAAAAGGGGGTCGGCCGCAGCGATATCATGTCACATGCAGTAAATTTCAAATATTTGCACTGCACTTTGCTTTGGGGTTTTGTGCTCAGTAAATGCAATTAACTGGGCATGCAGCCATGCACACATATGTGAGAGTTTGCACTGGCAATTTGTGGGCGCACTTGGAATGTAGAGCAAAATTTTTTAGTCGCAAATTTTCATGAATATTTTAAATATACATACATACACTTTTACTTAAGTATGTAAATTGGTTTGACATGAAACACTTTAATTTACTGCTGAATTTTTTATATTTTTAAGGGTTTTCCATACACAAATACGTATACGCATACACACACATATCAAGAAATTGTTGCACTTGGCGATTTTTGAAACTATGCGTTGTGTTTTTTTTCAATAAACTCTAAATTTTATGCACATAATTTTTTTACTGTTCCACTTATATTTTTAATTATTAGACCTACTGTCACAAATTTTTTATTTTTTTTTTTCATACAAAAATATGTATGTATGTAATTATGTATATCATTCCTTTATATTGGCTTGTTTTTTTTTAATTTTAGTTACATTTTCAAATCACTTACTATTTCAAAAAAAAAAACAACTGCTAACCACAATTTCCGTTACCCTTACTACTTAGTTTTGCTAGCGCACGTCTATCAACTACCGAATGCCGACATCAACTGAAGTTAAATATTTCTGCGTTCAATGTATAAAAATAACTATGAGGAGCTTTTCATTTACCGCCTATAAGAGTTTATGCTACAGCTGGTCACCTTAGTGGAGCTTTAAGCTCAATGTTTTAGAGAAATTTTGCCCATTGCATAGCATACACCAAGGCGCTAAAGCGTGCTCCCTGTTTTTGTTTACGAATTACTTTAACAAAGCAGCCAACAAAAAATAGCAGAAAAACCACTCGTTTGTGCCATTGTATGTATGTATGTATGTGTATATGTATGTTATCCCCAATGGAGCCGGCTAAGTGTGGTGGCATGTAACCACATGTTGCTTCAACTTTGCCGACAGCAGCGTAGAAATAAAATTGGTATAGGCGGAATTGTGAAAGGCAACACTGACAATCGGTATGCGGTATAGCATGGCAAATTGACTATTTCAGGAGTGAGGAAAAAGAATTTTAATTTTTTTTTTTTCAAAATTTAAAGGTTTTTGTATTATGTATATTTCAATGATTTGTATTTGAATAACTCAAACAAACTTCATCAAGCGCAGTTCTGAAAAAATCCAGACGAATTGTCGGGTTTATGCGTCAGTCTAGCCTGATCATGCTTTAAGGTGCCACGCAGACATGTCAAGTCTTGAATCATTTTTTATTGAATTCAAGTCCTTGGTTCTTTAAATGGGAATCAACGTGAAGGTCAAATAAGGCAAGAAAACTTAAAACGAATCGACGGTATGGATGTATCCATACTCCTTCCTACTTCGCCTACGAAAGAGCAGACTTGAAAGCACGACTTGACTTGTCTGAGTGGTGACTTAGGGTGGCTGAAAGTGTACGAAAATGCATTGTAATATTTCGATAAGAATCGAAATATATTCAGTCATCAGATCAGAAATTTAGCTCTAGAAAGTTATCCAGTTTCTTATCACCGTCGTTTATAGTTATCAAAATTTTTCAGATCATCCATGTTTATAAAGTTATCGGAATGTATCGAGTTATTGCAATTTAACAATGTTTGCTGAGTTATCGAAATTAATCGAGACGCTAAAGTTGAGTTGTCGAAATGTACCGAAAGTTATCGAGTTATAAAAATTTGTCAGATTATCGAAATTTTACAACGTAATGAAATTTTTTTTTATAAGATAGTTATTGAAATATTTATAAAATTTATAGAGTTAACGAAGTTTATCGGGTTAACGAAATTTTTCGAGTTGCCTTCATGTGTCGAGTTCTTTAAATTATCGAGTTATCTATATTTATTTATTTATCGAAATTGGTTGGTAGTTATGGAAATTTTTCAGTTTATGGAATCAAAGTTGTCGGAATTTTCAAAGAATATCGGGTTATCGCAACTTCTAAATTCACGTGAATTCAGCACTGTGTATCGAATTTTATCGAGTTTCCAGAGTGTATCGAGTTATCGAAATTGGTCCATAGATATGGACATTTATCGAGCTATTAAACTCGCGCTATCGATATATATCGAGATATCTAAATTCATCGATAGCTATCCAAATTTAAAGAGTTATCGAATTTTATAGACTTATCGGAAATTAGAGTCTTTGAAATTTATTGAGCTATCAATACTGATCGAATTATCTAAATTCATAAAGTTTTTAAAATGTATCGAGCTATCGAGAATTATCGAGATACAAAGTGCCACCATTGTTTCCGCGTCACCCTAATTGAAAACTGTGTTAAGTCTTGGTCCGAATTTTCCCCCATTCCATCATTTGACTTTGAGTCTCTCAAATCATTTGGTAATGAAATATGCCAACTTCTCGTGAAATACTAAAAATGAGTACTGCTCTTTTATCAATACCGAAAAATCATACTTTAATTTTGCTTAAATTAAAACCGATTAGAGATGTTGCGAACGTGGAATTTTAAACGCCCGCGGATGCGAATGCGGATGTCAAGTATTTTTAAGAAATTTTTTAGGTCATTAAGGTTTTTTATTTAATACTTCAATTAAAAAATTGGAGCATTATATTTAATAAAAAGTAATGTTGCTGCCTTTTCAGTTTCCAGCGTGTTTATGAAAGGATCGTAAATCAAACCTGCACAACTAAATAACCGCTCGCTCGGAACACTTGCTGGTGGAGGCGAAAAATAACTGCGTGCTAAACTTGACAATATTTTAAATTCGTTTCGATTGATGCTTGATTGACCAGTTGAAAGCATATTATAGGTTCGTTCCAGATGCTTCACGATTTGCAGGTTTTACAGGATTTTCAGGAACAGCTGTTCTCTATTATTATGGCTTCTTCCTTTGCAATTAGATCCTAACGAGTGTGTCGCTTTTTCCGTACATCGACGTGTGCACTCACTCCCAACCGAACGCAAAGAAGTTTCACTTCAAAAAACCGCTTTGCAGATCATTAATTCTAAACTTATGGGCTCTAGGTTCGAGAGGGTCAAATTTGCAATCAATTCAATGCAAGTACATGCATACATAATTAGATGCAAATAAACACATTCGTTATACTCTTACTATATGGAAGCTTGTAATAATCTTATTTTGCACAACACTACGCTTTAAAACGCATTTCTATAGAAATCCTAATCTCCGTAAATTAACTATGAGATTTACATACAAACATACTTATATGTACATTAGGGCAGGTCAAATTGTTTCTCTTCTTTGTTTCCGCGACAGATGTGGCCTGCTTATTTTTAATTTTAGTTGCTAATCCATAACCAATTTAATTTTTTTAAGCGACATCAATTTAATGAATTTTTTTTTTTTGTAGAAGTTTGTCGAAAGTTTGTATATAAACGAAAGATATTTAAGAAATCTTGGATTACACAGTTCGACAAATTTTTAACTTTTTTACCACCTCAGTAAAACACATTTTTTGTAGATTTTGTGGTAGTAAGTTCAAATCTGTCCACATAATTGCTCTGGCACGTAAGGATTTTGAGATATCCTTACCTCAAAAATGCCACAAATACAGTTTTTTAAAAAATATAAATTTTACAAAAAATATAAAATAAATTGCTTAAGAATCAACAACAAAAATTAAAAATAAGAAGGCTCGAAATCTAATTTAGAGCAATGCTTTCATGAACTTTTTTGTTCAGAATTGCCAGTATAATGCTTTAGTCACCGAAACAAAGTCGGTGATATTCCTTAAGAACAAATTGACCCACACTAATGTACATAAATAAGTAATAGTACACGTTTTCTTTCCTACGAATGAAATAATATATTATAGATATAATATAATTATCTAAACTTTATTGTGTGTCACGCTATTAAATCGAAAACTAGAAGCCTAGAAACAGATATCTTAAAGCTAAACTTATAATTAGGAGCTAAACGTAGAGTAGTTTCGTTTAAATTTGATGATCACTATGAGAAAATTTAACGGTCTAATGAAGCTATTGTGAAAACCCCACACAGGGCCCCTACATTACATTACGAATAGTTCGATTTGTTCGTATGTATGTATGTAAGTATGTATGTATGTGAATAAGTGTTTACTTTACGAAATGTGATGCTAATACTAATTACATACTTAATGTTCATTGGCGTTCATAGAGAAATTACTAAACACTAATTCTTCACCGATTTTCTCAGTTTGCACTATTTGCGTCGAGGTGATAATTAATGTAATGGTTGTCCGTACAGTTTCGCTGGAATGAAAATATTTTCTCGACAGCGGGCGATCTATAATATCTTCACTGGAAAGAAAGTAACAAAGAAAATAAGAATGAAATTAGAATATTAACATAGCTTGTTAAAAGAAGAATAGCCTGCAAAACAAAAAAAAAACACACAACTTACGGGCAACAAATAATTTCCTCGTAAACTGTATAGCCACAGTGCCCTACATCTCTGGCGTATAAGCCTCTATGAGTCATAATTGTCTCTAAATTAGGACATTGTTTCTCAATCAAACATTTGCCATCATAGTTGCTGGTTACGCAGGCATCACCCTCTGGGAGAGAAGAAATGATCATACAAAATTATTTGAAATTTTTCTTTCATTTCCATTTTTTGGACCTTTGCTTTTCACTTACCATATAAAATAATTTCTGGTGGATTGTGATCCTCAGCTGTGCACAAAGCTGCCAGGAGGATAAGCACCACACTTAAGTTCAAACACTTCATCATTTTTTTGCACTTATTTTCTTTAAAAGTATCAAGCCGTTCTTAGCGTAAGTCTTGCTTCTCAACACTTTCCGCGCTTAATTTGTTTAGCTCACCGAAGACACCGGCAGCAGTAAATTAACTGAGCAGATATTATATGCGCACAGCAGATACTAATGCCAACTAACTGCATGCGAATACAATGCGCGTATTGATTAAAAACCAGTTTTCAAAAGTCGAAGAATTTGTCAAGTTCATTTGCTTTGAGTGAGACGCTCTCTCGCTTTGCACGCTTGAAACGTTTTCTTTGTTTACCCGATAGAAAAAGTTTAAAGCTAAGCTCTCGCGCCGGCAAGCATCTTTGATTGATGAGCCAGAACTGTTGAAGTTGCCAAGGTGCTGTTTAATAAGAGACAAAATAAAAGGGTTAGAGCGACAATATTTCGCTTAGAACGACAATATTTCTGCGTATAAAATATTAAAATGAAAGGGAAGGGTTAAAATCGTTAACTGATAAGTAACAGTTAATTAATCTTAATCTTTACCTTAACCTGAATCCTAATCTGAATCTTACTCTTAATCTTTATTTTAATCATAACCTCATACACAATCTTAATCTTAATCTTTAGCTCGGCTCGAAGGACCATGGAAAAACCGTGGCGATTATGTGGTTTGGCAACTCCAATAAATCACCAGTGTTTTTATTTGAAAAACAGGAAAAAATAAAAAGGCCAAGTTTTAGTATACTTCATATAAATTGGTATGTGGCGGTTTATTCAATATATATGTACTAAGGTTAAAGCTAGGTTACAATGTTACCTTGATAAGTGCGCAGGAGTGATGGCTGGCAGACGTCCGTTGATCCTTGAGTTCTCGCTAGAAGTGCCCGCGCTAATTCTTGCGAAGTTAAGTTTGACCTCCAAGCAGCAAACTGTTTGGAGGGGAAACTTAACGAAGTTTGATATTCAAGCGGTAAACTAATATTTGTACATGCTAACGGCTTCGCCTTAATCAGGCTGTCTATGTATATGTGCATCCGTTGCACATTTATAAAATTCAACGTTAGGGTGGTTCACCCTTTTAAGTATTTGGTTTAGCCTTTAGGCCTAAACATTCGGCCTCAGTCCTAGTATTGATCTTAATCTTAATCTTGACCATAATCTTAATTTTAATCGTAATCTTAATTTTAATCTTAATCACAATCTTGATATCAATCTAAATCTTAACATTAATTTTAATCCAAATTTTATACTTATTCCTAATCTTAAGCTTAATTTTAATCTTACTCTTATTATTAATTTTAATCTTAATATTAACCTTAACCGCTTACTTAATCTTAGTTTTAATTGTATTCTTATTTTATCTCAACTTCAAACTGAATCTCAATCGTAGTAGTGAATCTTAATGTAAATCTTTAGTCTTAGTACTCATTTTAATCTTAATCGTAACCAACCACCCCGCCCTCCCCTCTCTTCTTCTTTCGCTTTTCCGTTTCATTGGACTTTCGAATTAGAGCCAAAAGAAATTTCACTTCCAAGAGTAAATCCTTTAGATAAGGATAGTCCCTATACAAAAGAGTAATATTTGCAAGTCCTCCTATTTAGATTTGCTTATTCTTGCTAATTTAGGCCTAATAGAATCTAGACCCTCATCGACCTGGTTTTTCCAACGTTAAGAAGGCGCGCCTTTTTGTCCTACCACCAGCAGCGGGTACTGAATAGATTCGGCGTCGAAGCCTTAGTAAATATTGGTTCCGGTAGCTCTGATAAACGGCTCGCATTCTTCCCAATCGCAGCTTGGCCACGTATACGTAGCGTTAAGCGTAACGTTCAATCCAATTCCTTTCTCGCCGGCGATATGCTGAAAATTACAAATTCGGCCGTATTTCTCGCGAGTATTGATTTGTTTAGATGCATTTTCTGAGAGCAGAATAGAGAGTCGAATATAAAAGTCACTGGCTGCTTGTTGAGGTTGTAGCCTTCCTTATTCGGGTCTTGCTTTTTTTAGACGTCAGAATAAGAGACACTGCCTTCGGCCTCCCTAAAGAGTCCTAAAATGACCTTAGTTATGGAAGTACCTATTATGGGTGGGCTGGCTGTTCATAGACGAATGAAATTGAACTGATCTTTGGCTGGGTGAGGTCAGGCACATAGATAGAATATATTCTGCTGTTTCGTCGTTATCAGGGTAGAACCAATCATCCTGACGTAGTGCTGACACCGGTGTGGTGCATCTGAAAAAGTAATAGTAATATGTGTAAGTTAAACTAAAAAGAATAATATCCTTCCCTTAAGGCTCCCTACTGCTCCCAAGTACTGATTGCGTTCTGTCTAAGTCCACTCAGTAACTAGGGATCTCAAAATAGGGTTCCAGTATCCGAACCCAACTAGTCGGCGACTTCGTTACTTTGGACCCCATGGTGGCCTATGTAGTTCCAAAAAACAGTGTTAGCAGGTTTCTCACTGAACCATTTTAATGCGTGTCAAAGCAATCTTGAGCACGCTTGGATTTGATTATCCTGATGGATCTTGTTAAACTGAATCTCCCAGAATTTATAAAAAGATACGGTATTGTCATCTATCACTAGACAGCGCAAAAATTAATGCAGCTTGTCTGGAATTTCATATGCATCCGCCATTGGTCCTGACTCTTTTCCATCAGACAATTATGATTTTGTTGGTCTCTTTAGAGAAGTCAGAACCACAATAACTCTATGTAAGACCCAGCCTGAGGAGCCAGATTATTTACCGCCTACTACTTTCAAATTTTAACACAAGTATTTTTAGAGAAAAACTAGATATGTACAAAATATGAAATTTTTAGTGATGATCGCTTTTACACTTCAAAATAACCTTCAAGTCACGTACTGGCAACTCTGCTCTTTCGTACGTATGTATGTGTTGCATAAAGCGTTTATTGTTTTCGTTTCAAACTTGTTAACTTGCTTGTTATCTACTCATCTTGAATGGAACAAAACGTTTCGCATGCTCTTCGTGTTTGTATGTACGCTTCACTGCTTATATTCATCATAAGTGCATACATAGCATACATACATATGTATGTATAAGAAAGTATCCACAGCCTAAATCAAGCTCAAATAGGCAGCTCTCTTCGTAAAGTATTTATATATTCTCATCGTCGCAGTGATTCATTATGGAATATCCAAAGCAATTGTCGTTGATGGATTAGTGTGGGGAAATCCATTCACTTTCCTCCAAAGTGCAGTATCAGGCATTTCTTTCTAAAGCATAACTACACAACAGGCGGTAGAATTGGAATGGTATTTGTTTTCTTTATTTTTTTAATTAAAAATTATTTGAATGGCGAACGAGCGTTTGGGCTACTCGCATAAACCCCGCGGCTGCCTGGCCGTTCTCACATCAACATTTAGTATCGGTTACGTCCTCTCCGCTTGACCGGCGTGAACTCTCTTTGCATCTTTGGTCAACCATGCCAACTTTGGGTAATGCCAAATCTCCTGAGGGTTAACATTCCCTGTAGCAGATTCCGGCCACTCTAGACCACTCTAAAATAAATTTGAGCCTGGTAGAAGGGTGGGGAATGCCCCGTCCCAACAGGCGCCGATAGGAGTATTTCCGTGCGACAGGCTTTAGAAAAAGGAACATGAACTTCCATGGACTGCCTCCTAGTTTTTCAGTAGCAGCAAAGGCAAATAACTCCGGATGATCTAAAATGATGATCAGAATGAGGTTTCTAGGCAAAAGTTATATAAACCCATTGAACGGTTCAAAACTGAACAACAATGTAGGAGTTGAGTCTCACAGTTGGGGCTGAAAAAATTATTCCGCCTACCCGATCAAACTGAGTTGTTGCGAGACAGCAGACGGTTGAATATTTACGAGTACGCACAAGAGAAGTCATAGTACTCTGCATCTACTCAGATAGTCAGGCGGCACTCAAAGCACTTGACTCAGTCACATGCAATTAAAAAATCGTAGCGGATTTCAGCAGATAGTTGAGCAATTCGCTCTTCACTGGGTACGGGTGCCGAGGTACGCGGAGAGGTTAGGGTTTCTCCAAACGACTTCTGAAGAAAAGCCAGAAATTTTGCAGCTCCTGTTATGACAAAAAAGTTCATCAGAGGAGGAGACATAACCAACTAATATTTTCTTGTTGTCTTTTTTAGCTATTAAACCGGCACTTATTAATGCCGAACAACCAACAAAGCTTTGAAATTGCAGCTCCGACATTGGATTTTTTACAGCAGACACATTTCAGTCCCGTCTTCAAAACCGGGTATGTATGTTCATACTTCAGCTGATTAATACGTTTTTCGTTTTGGATTTGTAATACTTCGACCTGATGTGCTTTGCTAGTTTGCAGATTTGGAGTACTGTCCCATTTTGCTTCAGCCTTTTGTCTGAATTATATATAATTCTCTCTAATTTATCTTTTGAATAGTTCGAGGAAATAATAAATGTCTTTGCTCTGGATTCATCAATAAATGCCCGGACCTCTGACAATTCATCAAGATTCTAGTTTCCATAAATGTTCAGACCTCAGAGAACCAATAGAGAGGCAAGCCACGAATAGGTGATTGCGTATCTATTGCATTTCATGCCATGGAATAATTTAGAAGGCCGAAAGCTTATAGAGAGGAACTGCGCCATCAGACCTAAATTGTAACGGTGGAAAATAATAGAAATAAAGGTCAACGACTTCCCTGCGTCATCACCACTAGTGCAATAAGAATAGCAAGCAGCTTATTAATCTGTCTAGTATGCACCTCATAATCAAGGAATATGCTCTACTGTTTACAGCAAGACCCATTGCAGGGAGCAATGTAAATCATAAGAAACTAGTACATACACGCATTCACACACGCATTTGCTTCGTGGACCTTTCTACATATGTATAAGTACACGTCTTCCGAGGTATAACTGCACACAAAACTTTAAGTTCGTTTTCTTGGGACATTGAACGATCAAAAGACCGGAAATGTAGCTATATGTAGTACATTGACGGTTTCAAGAGGGACCATGGTGTTCGAACACCAGAAGGCGTCTACTTTCCCTCCGATAACGGGGAGCTACTCCTCGCCTTAAAATCAAGCGAGGTCACCTCAAAGCTGGTTTGGGATTCAGTTCGGCTCTTTACGCTTTTCGCATCCAGTATCTTCCAAACATATTCCATGGATAATATAGACAAAGTCAAATGCACTACAAATCCAAAGGTTTGCAGAATTTGGTACTGATCGTAGGGATACAAGAGATCTTTAAGACCGCGGCTCCTCTTGCCTGTTAAGATGAAACCCAGAAAACGACCAAAGCTGTAGTAAGCGCAAAATTTTTATTTTTGAATTCTTTGTTCCAGAATTTACTTTGAAAAGGCGGCAAAGCTCTGAGATGGACCAAAAACCCACCAAATTTGGTTTAAATTTCAGTCAATTTTTCGGTATCCTTTCCTTTCTCATTTACTTTCACTTTGACTGAAGAATATGACACGTGGCAAACTTTTAGCAATCTAAGACTTTTCCCAGATCTTAAATAGCTCTGCAGTGGGCTCGAAGTTTTGTGAGACTCTCAGCCCTTTCGTTGCCTTCAAATCCTTCATGTCCAGAAGCCCACTACATCGTTACTCTAATTTAGTCTCCCAGGTTATTTAAAACAGTTTTACGGTTTTTAAGTCTGACTGACTAACCGACTTAATATATATTCTGGCCTCGTTTGTCCTTCTACGAAGACATTCGCAAACACAGACTTGGTTGGGTATGTGCCCATTTGCCGACTTTTCTAAATTCTTGATCCAAGTACGCCTGCCATACTTGGTACCCTTCGTCACTCACTTGATATTAACGTTCCACAGCAGTCCCTTCTATAAACCCTTACCTTGTACGGCTTGGAGAAGGATAATTTCGGTAGCATAAAAAATTAAAACTACATAACCACAAAAGTTAAGAGTGTAGTACGGTCCTTAATTTAATTACTTTATAATATTTTTATTCAATCAAGCTTAAATTAAGGTCTCATATTAATTAACAATTCAGTCCTTTAAGCATGAAATTCGGTGGTCCATAGTCATCTTATCTTCTACTACTTATTCAATCAACCCTGAAATACATACATAAGTATATGGCAACAAATTCAACCACTGGGCCAAGCGACACTCTCAATATAGTCGAGAAATGCAGACACACGCGTATAAAGGCCAGGAGTGGTGCTACCGCAACTGAAGCCAGCCGAAATCACGCCAACCACACGAAATTTACTCAACGCCTCATCCACTACCAAAATCAATGGACCACCCGAATCACCCTGGCAGGCATCCTTGGTTAGGCCAGGATCATGAGCACACATCTGACTGCTTATAATGCCAACGCTGATTCTACGTGTCAAGCCATTGTCCACATAGCTTTCATTACATCTTTGATTTTCGACGATAGTCTGGCGTGCTTTAAGCAAAATATTGGACTTTTCACGAGCTGCAAGGAAAGAAAAAGGCAATATATTGTATACTAAATGGTTTCCAACTTAGAAACATTAAGACAAAACTTACTTCTCTTATTGATTACACCCCAACCGGAGACATAAAGTACAGAGCTGGCTGACGGATCTTCTGGTTCGGTATAAAGACACGTCGGATATACATTGGTTGTGTAAACGACATCTGATTCCAATTCAAGCAATCCAATGTCGTTGTATACGCTGGCGCTCGAGTACTCCGGATGCACGTGAATTTTCTGCGGCAAAGTAGTAGTTAGTATTTGTTTAGTATGTATAATAGTACAGAGTTTACCTTGATTCGAATCTCTACAACGTCCTTCATTTGTTCAGTATCAGTAAAATTCACTACCCCCATACGCACCGTTACCGGTTTCTGACGCGTCACCAAACAATGAGCCGCAGTCAAAACGAAACGTTTCGCAATCAAAGTACCACCACAATTGTATTCGATATCATCATCTGTAGTGCTCAGTCCAATCGCCACCATATGCGGATATTCGCCAAGTTCAACGGGTGTTCCGCCTAGAATGTGTGGTGTCAGGAGAGGCTGTAACTCAGCATCGATTTCAGCGCAGGCTTAACAATTGAACGAGAGAGGGAGAGAGATAAAGCGCGGTAAGCAGGATATAATACATACACATATAGAGAGATTCAAGCGTGATGCAGACAGCAATTATTCGTCGTATGTTAATTTTGTGCTACTTTTTTCCAGACAATTTTTACTCCCAGAATGCGTTATCTCACGAAACAACGAGGTCAAATGGCCACCGAGATCTTTAGATTTGACACTATTGGACTTCTTTTTCTGGGGCTGCGTGACCGTAATTTGTCTATGCCAATAAACCCGAGATAGTACCCGGGCTGACCGAAGTATGCCAAAAAGGGCAAGGAAAATTTAAATATGCGCATTCTGTTTTGCTAAATGGATGGTGGTAGGCATTTAACGGATATTCTGTTTCATACATAAATGCCATAGACTAAGACACAGGATGAAATAAAACAAAATCATTTCGACAAAATTTGGCTGTGTTATATTTTGGGACCAAAAATAACCCTTGAATATCCAGATCTTTATTTTTCGATCAAAAACAATGTCAAATTTATATTTTTATTTTTTCGATCAAAAATAATCGCTATTTTTTTTTATCAAAAATAATGGTTATTTTGGACTGACATTTTTTTCGATCATTTTTACCCATTATGATGGAGATTGCGTTTTAATGACCGATTTAAATCTTTTATGATCTAAAAAATTAAAACTAAAAATAAAGGTAATATATAACACTGTGCGAGAGTCAATTTTACACGCAAAAAATCAATACATTCGCGAAACCAAGGGCCAAATATAGTAAAACTGCATTTTTATTTTTCTCTCTGACGACAGGATTTTTTTAAGGACTTTTTGAAAAAAATGATTACTTCAAAAAATATCTAAAAATTCAGGGCAATGTTGAAAAAATTGTGCAGAGTTAAAACAGATAAAAATTTTTGGTGCATAAGGACTGGTATGTATTGAAATTATCCTTGAAATATTGCAACACCTATTTTTATAAACATTTTATTTTAAGGCGACCGCATCCTCGAATTTCCTACTTCTAACTTTATTAGCTTAAAAAAATAAAATTAATTAAAAGGGGCATTTTCAACACTTATCGCTCTTGTGAACCAAAAAATAATTTTTTTTTTTAATTTTACAGAGTTTTCTCTATCATTTGGTGCCTATATTGCTATTCTACATTGCACTGATTTTTCTAAAAAAAATTTGAAATTTGAAAAAACAAAAATAAAAAATCCCAAAAATAACGATTATTCTTGATCGAAAAAATAAAAGTCCTAAAATAACAGTTAAATTTGATTACAAAAATAGAAATCCAATTTTAGCGGTTAAATTATGATAACTATTGGAAACATCATAACCGTTACGGTCACCGGTATTATTTATAAACAAAATATGCGGTCTTATTGAATCATCCTGTATAATGAATATTTATATGATTAAGGGGACAAAATAAATACTAACCTCTTACAGCTGGTCGATCATCTGAACGCGTCCTAATAGTTGTTGTAGGTATAGATGGAGATAATCTGTTGAATTTGAAGGAAATAAATACGCTTGTTTTAGAAAAAATCTAATCTGAATCACTTACGGACAACAAATTATCTCCTCGTACGTGGTAAAACCGCACCGACTTACATCACGCATTCCTAAGCCCAACTGACTCATGATCAGTGGTAAGTCCACACATCTGCTTGATTCAGTGCAAATGCCACGATGGCCTTTGACTTGACAGGGATCACCTACTAAAACGAGAATATATGTACATAAATATTGACGTGATATGATCTCATTTACATATGTACATATTCCAATAATAGATACTATATCAGAAAAACTTATGAAAAATAAGATAGAAACATTATAAAGTAAAGTCTAAATGGGTTCACTAAATAGGACGGATGGATCCTTCACGGAAACATGATGTGGGAATCTCTGAGCTGCTTTGGAGACTCATTTCGCTGGAAAGCTTATAAACCCACGATCTTGATGATTTTCTCTTTAGACTTTGCATGATAATTTAGAAAATAGCTAACGAAAGTGCTTGTTTTTAGCTGTCCAAATGAAGGATTTTTAAAGTAGAACCCCATATCTCTGAGCAATCATTTGTATGCCATTTTCAATGTAAACTGGAGGAGTTATTTTAAAAAATTCATATCTAAACAATAAGTTGCATTGGAGCTTTATTTTGTAGTGGTCCGATTTTGCCGGTTCCGCCAAATGATTAATACATTATAAAAGAACACTTGCTTGCCAAATACTATTTCATGAATATGAAAGGTATAAAAATGAGACCCATATTTCGATGTTCTTCAATTCTGCGGGTGCCATGAAAAAAAATGTTACACCACCCTAATGTACAAATGTATATGCCATAAAATCGTTAAAAGCAAATCAATATACAATCAACTCCATAAACTTACCCTCCGATTGAGCTTCTGTCATTCCAAGCAATGCAAATACACTTCCAATCAGCAACAGCATCGGCGTGCAATGTTCCCTTTTTCTCATTCGAATATATCTAGAGCACATTTTGATCTTTGTTTTTAACAATTAAAAACAAACACAGTTCGCATGTAGAAAATTATTATGCATTTATGAATTTTTACATACATACATACATACATACATACATATGTAGTAGGTACATATGCATGTGCGTATAACGTATTTAATAAGTTTATCGAGTGTGGTTCGAGTGTGTATGGTGAGTAACACGTGTCAGGTGAGGTAAAGTCATTGAACCGTAAAAAAGTCTGCAAGTAAATAAGTTTATAATTATTTATGTAAATGTATATATTAGTTATTAGTTAATTAAATACACAATTTTTACACTTTTATAATATTTTCAGTTGACTACGAAGAGCTAACTGCCGCAGAATGGAACCCTTCGGCCATGGTCAACATATCCCTTACCGCAGTTGAATTATTCCATTCGGTTTGCTTGAAAGTGCATATTGTCGGTGACACTGCAATTAGTACTCTTGGCACTTGGATGGATGGTCTGTTACCCGCACCGGAATGCATCTAAAAATCGTTACACTCTCATAAACTAATGACAAAACTGTCTCGCTTTGACTAATGAAGATTACTGATTTACAGAAGCGATCAGATACAGGTGGCAGATCATTTAAGCAGCAGAGTTAATAATTCACATAGTACTTTCTGCAGTAACACCGACGATATCTTCGCGGTAAAATTCTATTAAATCTACTTGCAAGGAATCTAAGTAGTATTACCAGCTCTACTGCTAAAAAGTTCAAAACTAGATTTTGAAGGGAGGCCGGTCGTTTCATTTGTCGCTGTTGTCTAGTTTAACGCACCGTGAATGGATGGATGAGAAGTGCAAAAAATGAAAAAAACACTTGACTAAATGTATGGAGTCACAGACTTATTTAACTGACCTCGTAGTTTCATACCTGCATTAAAATTATGACAAAATTTTGAATTTAAGCGATGACATCCTAGCCTTAGAAAAATTTCGAATTTTTTAATCAGACTTTTTTAGAATTTTTTTTATGCAGTTTTGTAGCTACGGCTTATCATTGATTTTCAGCAATTTTCTTTTTGCTTACGGTATTTGTGCATTTCAAAAAAAAAAACGAAACAAAACTCAAAAACCTACAGAAAGTCCTAACTATTTCAAATCTAATTTAAGATCTTGAAATTTTTACTTACATTTGTTGAATTTTTATACACATATATCGCACTAAGTTTAAAACTTAGATTTATAAAGTTTTCGTTGGAGAATAAATATATTTTTGTAAAAAAAAATACTAAAATTAAGTAAAAATTGTAAAATAAACTGTTAGAACTCATCAATATGTGGTGCGCTTATAAATATGACACGGAGTTTAATTTCAATAAAATTACCAAATTTTCTGAATCGCATTTCACCACATTTTTGTAAGGTGTTTATCCTTCACTCTACTTACCGCTATTTTTATCTTAAAAGTTAAATTTTTCACCAACGATAGCCATTCAGCAGCCAAGGAAGTAATATCCTCTGCCCAAAAGGGTGAAAAAATTATGTAGTTTTTTTGTTAGTTTTGTATGTTTTTTTATTTCGAATTTTTGTTATTTTAGCAACCCGGCTTAATTTCTGATCTGGTTCTTTCTGTTTGGCACAAGCACCTGTACATTTGTACTAAACTACTAGTTAACTACTTACTTCAAACTCCATGCAAAATTTTATTTCTTTTTTAACAAATCCACTCAGGGGATTTACCTTTCAAAAGCACTAGATCTACAAAACACTGTAATTTATTATTTTGTTATGTTTTGTTAGTTTATAAACAAATGTATTTAAGTACACAATGTATAAGTGTCTGCATGTATAGTATGTATGCATGTAAGTTGGTTTATAGGCTTTCAGTAATTAGGGCACAACATCGCACTTTAATGTCAGTCTTATCTCTCGGTCATTGCCAGCCAACCGCCGATACACTATCTGACACTAGCTTTGATTGTTTTGCGTTTTGTTTTTGTTGCTTTTTGTGATTAACATACTCCCAGATTTATTCTATATACAGTACATACAAATGTGCATTAAGGTGCATCGCGAAAAAAAATTGCAGTTTTCCATTGGCATAATAAAATTTATTAAGTTTATTTTAAGACTTCTGCCAAAATATTTACGATTTACACGAGCTAGACCGATTTGAAAATATCTCCAAAATCACATTATTTTAATTCCGCTAATAAAATTTTGTAAACATTTTTATGCAAATGTTTTAGGCTTAAACACTTCCATTATCTGAGGTGATTTTTTAGAAAAAATATTTTTTTTAACTAATTTTATTTATAAAGAATTCGATTTTCATATTTGGTCCAGCTCACGGATATTTTTCCGAAATATGTATGTATTTTGGCGAAAGTCTTAATTTATAAAAATTTTATCATGCCAATGGAAAAACAGTGCCGATTTTTTTTTTGCATTTAGCACGATGCACCCTAATGTACATACTGTGCGTGTGTTTTGCTGCTTTTGCTCTGTTGGTTTTTATTTTTGTTTTCATTTATTTCCAGCGAATTCAACCAGTCGTTCATCCGGTTTCGCGATTATGTGTTTTTTTTATACAATTTGCATTGTTTAGCTTTAGTTAGTAATTAATTCTTTTTTAACCCGAATTTCGCGCAAGTATTTAAATATGTGCATTAAGCACTTTCTTTAAACAATATATTTATGCATTTGAAAAATATATATAAAAAAAAAATATACAAATTAAACAATTTTCGGCGTCAGAGCAATCATCCGCTTCCAACGTGTTTTAATACAGCAAAGCGCCACGGCTAAGTGAAAACTAACCTACATCGCGACTTTGTGCTCTGGTCTGGCAACTGTAGGTAGACTTACTAAGCTAACTCTCGATTTGTTTGTTGATTCATTTTCATCTTTCGCTTTCAAGAATCGTACTAAACATTTATGTGGGCGCAGTAAATACGACCAGCGGGCGTAAGAGAGTCTAAAACAAGTGATCAAGCAAATACGAGATGCCAAAAACACGCAGAACAACAGAGAAGAGAGAGAAAGACATAGGAAAAAAGGGCCACATCGACTACAGATGATCGCCAGCTGCAGCTACAGCAGAGTTTAGTTGGCCAAGCTTACATGTAAGGGCTTCCACACATACCACATACGAGCCTTTAAAAGTTCTTAGCTTCGAAATGTTTACCCAATTTTGGCTCTCTCCAATAGATACAACTAAGTTTATTGTGAATATTTTGTGTTGATTTATAAGTTTTGATATCCAAAATTTTCACAATTTTTCATTGTAATTTTTTACTTCTTACGTTTATACTTACTTACTTGGAGAATTCTCTTTTGACCATGGTAGTTCGTTAACGATTAAAGCACCGTCCGGTCCAGATCAACACAGCTTGCCTTACTCAGGCTAAATTGAGTCGCGAGACCAGAATGGCAACCCATTCTTTTTCTTTGTTTTATTCGACACTTAAACCATTTGACCACTTTTGACGGGACCTAAAAAAGTCGCAATTGCTTATCGCGCTTGCGAAGTTCTGCCAAATTTAAACAGGTTCTTTTGTAGCTCGTGCGATCAATCACCGCCTATCTATGGTTTCAAGTTACTTATTTATTTCTGAAACCGGGTTAGGAGAAGGTCGAACTATTTTGCCGTGAGAGAGGTACCTGCCGTGAATAATCGACAACACAACAAAACTCTAAGTTTAAGCTCTATAGGAAGGTCCGGATTGCTCTCGGGCAAGTAAAATACATTCAGCCAAGTGAAACCTATGCTTAAGCCGTCAGTGTCACCGTTGTAGGCTCGAGGTCCCCCTTTGGTTGCCGGCGTAGCAATCTCAGTCCTGTCACAAGACTAGTGGGCGATAATACTCCATCAACTTCTGGTGTCAGCTTCAAATACAGAAGCTAATGAAACTCCAGTTGTAACATTAGCTAAAGCGGCTTTGGCAAAGCCAGACGACATGGCTAGGCCATCGTCTCAAAAAAGGCAACCCACCGTGCCACAGATATAGCTCCAGGCAGCATCCACACCCAGAAACACGTTAGTGCGATAGACTAGTCTACAAAATGTGGACTGAATAATTTTTAGCCAAATCCTTTATTATTAAGGGACGAATTCCGAGTTCTAGTGCTTCGCCTGTGGATCAATCGAAATGTATTAGTCCTTATTAGGCCTAGGCTGCACAATCACAATGAATGGCTTTGAACATCTCGTCGTCCACAAGACAATTCAGGCATTATGTTAGAGCGGAGGGACTGCTCCATTTATTAATAATAATAATAGATTGGCGCTTACGCATATGTTAGTGTCTGGCCGAGCTTCTCCTCCGACTTGTGGCGTGCGCC